TCGTCAATGTTTGGGTGCTGGGAACGCATGTCATTGACTTGCCACTGATTTACATTATAAAAGAGTTTCAATTTACTCCAGTTCATCCAGGAACGCATCCCCGGCATAAATCAAGGGCTATCTGTACTTGTCATAAATACACAGAAAAGAGTGAGTAAGGTGGTGCACTGAATCAATGGCCTCAAAAAGGCTCACTAAACAAAAAAGTATATAAAATATGGATCACATCTAATTTATCTTCATCATTTTTAATAGCACATATTAAAATTATCATTCTTATATTCCAAATTCAGTATAACTTACCTGGAGGTTTCTGACCCAGGAAATGAGAAGTTCCAGAGCTGCTGGAAAGTGAGACCATTAAAAGCAATTACTATGGAGTTGAACATGGCTGCTACAATATCTTCTGAGCCATCTTGATTCACGTCAGCCATTACAGGTGGAGACATAATACCCTTTGCTTCATCTCGGTAGAGTTCCCGAACCTAAACAAGTATTTCACTCATGTTACAATACAGCAACCAAGCATTCTGTAATAATGTCACACTCTCATATTTATTATAATAAAAGACTGTCTACTTCATGGTCATGCAAGACTTGTTTTTTATTAAATAGCACTGTATTAATTGCATATGTAATGTAGCTTCAAATAAGAAATAACAAGCAATATCAAATTTAAAAATGGATACTAAAGGAATCAGTTTTCATGTCTTGAGGCATTATCTTGCCATTTGCCTTCACAAGACTGTAAGCAACACTCAATTCAAATCAGTCTCCTGCCTGGAATATACATCAGCCCCGAACAAAAAGTATTTCACTCTCCATTTAGAAAACAATTTATGAAATGAAGTCACTTATAACAAAGACATAGATATCATAAATCTAATTTTCAGAACAGTAGTTTCAAAAAAAATAATCCAAATTTATAAGGCACTTATCAGATCAACAACACACAGCAGTAAAGCATGCATTATAAGGGGAAGATTACCATAAGCCTGAAATATGTTTCACGAGATGGATGGCAGGTTACATTCCTTCTGGTCTCAAAATATATTAAAACAGTTCTCAAAGAATTGCATATTTCAATAACCATTTTATATATAAGTAATTTGAAAGAATATACATAAAGAGTGAACTTTGATTTTAAACCATACAACTCACCCATAAAAAATGCAAAAAAAGTATTAAACAATTCTGTTTTTGTAATGTTACATCTATTACTGGAAAGAAGGAAAGAGATTATTAAAAACAACATGATCTATCTTGCCTGTAGCATGTTGCCCTTCACCAGGTGATGCAATGGCAAGGCATACAAGCCTCCTGGACTTGCCTGCCCTCCAGTTCCGAACACCACAATACTTTCACCATCAAGGTGAAACAACACTTGCGGCGCATAAAAGGTCTCCTCTCCATTTGGGGTCGCCACTTTCTGCAATAACTTGCCTTTCTTTCCACTCACCAGCACCAGATGACCTGTTACAATGGAACTTATATTTAAGCAACACAACAAATTCCGTGATGATGATGATGATTCATAGTCACAACTGAAGATAACCAACTATGACTACTGACTTAATTTTGTATAAATTCATGACAATATCAATAACTAGCCATGTGCCAGTTCTTAAACTAATCTGCTCTAAAAACAAACAACACTCAAATAATGAAATATTTATTTATTGTGTTTATATATTCAAGTTCACCCAAAATTCACACTAGAACTTCTTATTAATTGACGATGACTTCAAAATATATCATGTTATAAAGTCTATTGAAGATTAGGGGATAAGACAGTAACATATAATTTCATCAACATGTTAACTATATTTTTTATTTATTTGTAGTGTTCTGTCTGACGACAGGTCCATATGAACAGGATCCTTCCATCCTTTTCTCGAACTGGGACCTGTTCATATACGTTCTTGGCAGATGATCCAGAAGTGGTTTGCCATTGCCTTCTTCTGTGTGTGAATGGGATGCCACAGAGAAACCGGGGAAGCCCCCGGAGGAAAACTCCGTGTTGCCTAGACCGCGGCCTTGCCCAACACAACTATATATCATTCTTTAATGCATTACACCTCCCAGGACATATACATTTTATGACTTTATAACTTTTCTTCAGTGGATAGCCTCATTCATCTCTTTAATTTGTTTAAAGTTTGAATATGCTTCTGCTGCCTGGAATAACCTCACATTGGCCAATTTCAATCAACACCTGCACCTACAAGCGCAAACAAACTCAAATACACATGCACACAGAATTAGAGAGGCGTATTCTTTATATATTATACTGACATTTCAAAGTTGTTCTTTACATTACGTGACAGCATGAGCAACAGTGCCAACAGGCCAACCAAGGAAATAACAAATGCCACAACGGTAGCAGAGGAACTAACAGTATTCAATGTCAATGCTGCAACAATACAATGTAAGGCCAATGTTGCAGCAGTGTGTTCCATCAGTGACTGGAGACAATGGACACAAGCATGATCTTTAGAAAAATAGTGGGTAAAACCTCCAATTTCTGGAATGTATTATCCTCTGAATACAGTACTAGACAATATACAAAGCCCTGAAAACAAAATGCATGTGTGTTGCTTATGAGAGTTTGTTCACTGACAGCCAAAAATAATAATTACTTACTTAAATTGTGTGCCAGCATTATTAAGGCAAATCTGCAAAGAATAATATCACTCATGACTGTGATCTATCTATTATTTTAAAAGTAATTTTTTGTAGTCCGTTTCATTTGCATAGTTGAGAGGTGTAATCTCTCTTCTGAAAGGTGTACTTTCAGAAAAGAGATTTTATATGGAACATAATGTAAATGGCTTAGTTGAGTTGAGACACGCAAGATCAAGTTGATGTCAGAAAGGAGAGAAAATAACATGCCAGATTGAAATGGGGGGGGGGGGTAATTTTGGTTTTTCAAGAATGGGTTTGTAGAGTATTAAGCCATACACACCTGTCAGTCCTGGAGGTACATCCTCTGTATGAGCAGCCACCACATCAGGGAAACCATCACCATCCACATCCTGTATAAACTGAGCCGAGTAAACGTCAACAAATGGTTCACCATGAAGCCCTGCCTGTCCTGCATGCTCCACAAACTGCCACACACTACTCCCATCATGACCATTAACCAGCTGTAGTACCTGTAAGGCATTTCAAGTGCACCAGTCAATCGACTAACTCCGTATTTTTCATCGGAAAAGTCAATACTAATATTGTTCACTGGCATTTTTCTATGTACCACTTTAAAGTGTTTTTTTTTAGAAAATAGTCACTAAGTATTTTATAACAGACAATTGGGAATGATAGTTTACAAAGCACAGGCCAATTTAAATTTTTACAAAAATAAATTGTACTTTGCCGAATACTTCCAAACCTACCCCACCCTTCCCTGAGATAAGACAGTCATTAGTCTTGTCTTCTGTGAGATCTGCACTACAGTCCACCATAAATACAGAGTGGGATGTCCAGTGCTGCCAAATTATGTTACCAGTTACACCATCTAGTGCGATCACACCTCCTAGGCATGGTGTTACCCGGCCAAAGTAAATAGTGCACACAAAATCAGGTACATTGTGTCCATCTGCTCCTGTAAGAAAAAAAAATTAGGTATCTACCACTTTGCTATGGTGTAATAACTAAAGAAATGCAAAGACAGTGTTACCAGAGGAAATATCTGATACTAATTTTGTTTTCTAATTTAATTAATTATGCTTTCTCAGTTACTTATGTTATATGGGAATAAATGAGATAGTAATATAAATTATGATATTAAAGAATGAAGCCTACATTTCACCTAGAGGTACTTGGAAACATTATATAAAATTCTGTCAGGCTAGTTACTAGTTAGGCCTGGTACTGAACTCAGTAACTCAAAATACAAGAAGTGTTAACCTCTCAACCACAATGCTCAGTCGATAGAAATGTTACTATAGCAAGACGGTTGGAAATCAAATGTACAAAGATGGGGTAGTGTCTAGAGGCATGATATTGGTATCAAGTTCACAAGATATCTGGTTAAAAAGTTATTAATGGATGAAGATTTCCGTCTTCTGGATTGTTGCGCTGGTTAACATCGACCAGACTACACAGCGCAACAACCCAGAAGACGGAAATCTTCATACTCACCGCTGTGAGAACCTCAAGTCTTACATTATTAATGGATACCTCAAAAGTCTCTATCATTATAAAATAAGGAAAACAGACTAAAACTTCATGGTTTTATCTGCAAATTTTTGACATTTAATGCCTTTATGCATATTTATTAATAATGCTGCAAGACCTGGAAAACAATTATTTAAAAGAAAAATCATGTTTACTGTTTACAAGAATTTTGAGGTCCACTGTTCTGAACACATGACAAATTAAGTAAGAATTTAAATGTAATTATTATTTTAAAGTATTTACAATGAGTCCTGGAACAGATCAAAACACCCCACGTGTGAAAGGGTTAAAGTACAAGAATGCAGAGTGAGTACAGATCATTCTCAGTGTAGGAAAACAAAAATAAATACTTACAACATATGAAAATCAATACAAAATATTTATAAGGTCATCAAAACGTAAAAAAAAAATTGGGCCAAGTTGTAAACCAAAGCCTGAAAACAAAACATAACAAAATTAAAACCAAAACCAAAAACATACCAAGCCAATTGCTCTACAATAGCTGATTATTGCAAAATATTATGTAATGTCACTGGGGTTAAACCTTGCTAGAAGAGCATTCAAAGAACAGAGGAACTACTCTTATTTTAAAAATAGTGTAGTATAGCACAAAATTTTTTACGTAATAACTAAATTGTACTAACCAACAGGGCAGAACAAACCTGTCCCATATCCTATGATTACATCCATGACACCATCTTTATTGATATCATTCAGTTGCACAGCCGACTCTACTGTCAGTTTTGATAAGCTTTTGGTCCATACATCTTCTACAAAGAGTTCAGTGCAAGGAATTACTACATTGCCCAGCTGAGATCGTACACCAACCTTCCAGAACTTTGTAACTTGATCTAATGGAAATGGAAACCACATCACTAGAGAGACCACCAAAACTATTAAGCCTGAAATGGAGAGGGAATATAAATATTACACCATTACCCAAACACTGCACACATTTGAACAGCAATCTTTTACAAACTGTGGTGGTTAATGTTATCCCATGCTTGGTAAAAGTCAGGACATACAAAATTGAGATTTAGTGTGGAAAGGCCTACCAAAACCCTATGATATTACAAGATTAAAAATAAGTATGTTGTACTTTAAAATATTATTATACAAAAGTGTACAGAAAATATACTCTATTCAACTAAGCAAAAGATCACAATTTCTTAATTTATCACATGAAAAATGGACTATCCTAAAATGGCAAACAACATCAAACACTTTGCTGGCACAAATGTTTATCACCAACAGTTCAAAGAATGTAATAATCTAATATGAGTAGAACTACTATACATTATTTAAGTTGGTGTAGGTAGTTGAATAACTGCATATACATTTCACAACTATAATAAACAGTGAGAGGGAAAAAAACATAAACTCACCATTAAGACTGTAAATTAATTATATTCCCCATGAATAAGTGTAAGAAAACATACATTCAGTTAAACATGACAAGTACAAGATAAAAAATGTACAGTAATAACATGACAACTGTGTGATGATGGTCATTGCCATCAACATCGTTCTTTTCAGTATTAAGCCTATGTAGACCTCCTATGAGTATTACAAAACAGAGTTCTTCCAACATTTAGAGAGGTCTTCCCAAAGTTATTTTTCCTTTAGGTTAACACTTTAAAAACTTTTTGAAATGCTATCAGGGTTCATCCTGTCAAAATGTTCTTACCAATTTCTCTGTAATTATTCATATAACAAATTAAACAAACTTCATACCTGCTGAAACATACAATCCATTTATTACTACATTACTATGTGGCAGTCATCAATAACAAATACTATCTTTGCTCTCACACAAGATACCTTGCTGAAATGTTCTTTATAAATCACAAGTATGAAAAAATTGATGATTATATAGCGACAACACATATTAAAAGTGATTAGTACAGAACTATGACAATCATGTTTCAAGGATCTGAATGTGTATGGTTTCCATCTGTAGAGAAACGTCAAACAGAAAGTCTACAGAAACAACCCATGTATATTGGATGCTTTTACAGATCAAAATCAGTAATGTTATTCTAAAAATCACAAAAAGTGATTTTCAACAAGTTACAGAATTTGTTACATCAGAGTAAAATATGCTTGGATGTTGGAGGATACTACATTCAGCAGCTACCGTGATATCAGGTAACTAAAGTGGCTTTACTGATAACATTTTTCAAATGTGGACAGAACCTCCAAGCAGGCTAAGTGCTAATCCAAGAGAAGCTACACACTGGCCAGCACCTCACTCTTAAACAGGCACCAACCATGCAGTAAAGGCAGAAATGGAATTCCATGTGTATTAATACAATTACTCTAGTCAATATTAACACAATCAACATTTCAACAATTCGGTACAATATAGATTGAAATTTTACGAAGTTGAAATTTTAATGTGGCTCTCATTCAATGACCATGGCTTAAAATTTCTAATGTGTTTAACTGCTGCATTATCTGTGGGTTTAATTCAAATTAATCACGGGCGTCTTCTGAATTACAAACCTAAGAGAGCAGACAGTGCTATGCAACCGTAACAACATGGTGCAAAATGCGCTCTGCAACGGCGCCTTCTGCCAATTTCACTGTGGAAATGACTTGACTTTGACTTTCTTCTTGGAGCCATAAGTGGCCGTTTAACGCCTCTTTCTTCATCAACTTTGAAACCATTTCTTCCATCACGAATAAACACTTCGTCTTCAACATCATCACTGACATCTTCATCCTCGAAACTGTCTCTGACAGCTAATTTTGAGGCTGGATATGACATGATCAACAAACTTATGTTCCTTTCTTCTGGCAGCAATGTTAAACCAGAACAGACCAACTTTGCAAAATAGACATGATTAACACATACAAACGTTACATAACACCGTCATTGCGAACAGACATCTTGTAGCGTAATTATTACACATTTCGCAGATTAAGCAACTTCGCAAACATGAATACCCTTTGACCGCTAGCGCAGAAAAAAAACTGTCAAAGACAAGGTTAAGCTATTATCCGCCGAGGCATTTTCTGGGGGATAGCTCTTCACGGTCATGAACAACACTGTTACTTTTATCAGAACAGCCGCACCATACCATTCATTTAATTTTCAGTAAATGAATGGAAAATAACTTGAAATTGGCACTAGTGTCTTCTTTATAGTGTTAATAGTTTCTTTGTTTGCTTATTTTATAACTTCAAGTTTGTTATAGCCATCCAAACTCATACTTCCTAAAGTACTACAATTTGGAACTACCAACGTGACGGATGTTCAGACGACAGGTTAGACGTGGACGCCATCACCCATGATTCTCGTGGAACGCGCATCACAGCTGATGACGTCTACGCCTGCGATATCTGTTTGTATGCAGTCAAAATGTGGCTGTAAAACTGTTTTTGACGAAGTACCATCGCAAAGTACTCAAAAATCACGCTTTTTGAATTCCTACAACAGTGTCTTTTCACGTGATGGATGTTCAATGACGAAGTGGGACAAAGATGAGGCCATAACCCATAATCCTTTGTACATGCACACCACCAGCCAAACAACCCAACCATCCCACTTAAAAAACTAACTGAAAAATGGCTGGGTGTATTTTCTTGGAATTTAACATGGTCGTTATGACACTGGATTAAACTCTTGAGGTGGGACGGAAGTCTTATCGGGCTACCAGCCGTGCCAGGTGGTTTAACAGAGAAAACACCAACATTTCGAAAACCATCATCGTACATCGTCCCTTGATCGGTAACACCATTCTTGCGTATGAAACGCATTGCTGGAAATGGTAAACAGAGCCTTATAACTAAAACGGGAATTTGCTTACACTAACGGGGTTTCTGTAGTTCGGTCTGTTGCTGCTGATGAGAGGTTATCCCGTCCAAACTTCCTGTATACCTGCACCAGCCCCATTTTATTGGCTGTACGTTAGCCAATAGGGGTTGGTGTGCGTAATTACGTGCTTGCTATTTTTAAGCCCAGCTTTTCGATTACATAACATGTTCTTCACCGGATATATTCTTTGGGTTTCATCTGACAGGGTAGGTTCCAGTGGTGAGATCTTTTTAACACAGTACAGAATCTCTGGGTTCAATGAAAGGTGGGGAATGACTCACCAATAAGGTTTCAAAGAATTAATTTGCTCCATGGAGTTAGTACTGTATGGCCAATAACACTTGTACATACTCATCCATCTTTCAACAAATACAATAAAACCATGTCAATTCAGAAAACCTCAAAGCCAGAAATACAAACTCTGATTTTTCCATGTTTCATCACAGATATTAGCTGCAAGTCACTGTAACTGGAAATATTAAACTGTAATGGACTGACAACACAAAACCTTTCACACAAAATTGTTTTACCTCATTATTTCACTTTCACTCATCCATTCTTCTATTGTTTACATATTTACCATCACTGAAATATCTGCATTTATTGTCAATGTTGAAAATCATAATATAAAATTTCTTAATAAAGTGATGCAGACCAATTATCTCACCATAAAAAAACAATTCTCATTATAAGCCACACTGTACTTTTAAGGTGATGTGGGGGAAAAGTGACACTTATATTCACATATAGTATGTTCTTTGCTTAATGTGAAAGATCAACTTTCACAAAACAACAGGCACAATTATAGTTTTGTATAACTCAATTAGGACACAAGATGGGAAGTCATAACATTCAGAACTGAGTACTAGTATGCATTTCACCAAGTAATTTACTCTTAATTTCTTCATGGCTGTAATTTTGTTTTATTACTATCAATCCCGAACATATTTTATCACTGCCCAGTAAATTAGCAATATTACCATAGGCCAGAAGCCAATTTGTCACATTCAGTTCTAATCTTTCCTGATTTTATTAAATGTTGGCAATTCTTCCACTGCCAACATCCTTTGGCCTTTCTACTTTGCAGAGAAATGGATTTTCAGAGCAACACAAATACACAACTGCATACTGTCAACAAAATTTCATTTACACAACACACATAAACATCAGAGTTCAAGATGTCGCCAAAATAATCATCCTTGGCAATAATATTTATGCTATTATGACTGTTCTACAAAGACACATACATAAAAATGAAACTAAGTTTGCATGTAAATCCATTTAAATGACAAAAGTAAAATAGTAACTGTTTATCCAGTATTGATAAAAATCAATTGTTTGTTTGTTTGTCATCAGTCTTTCAACTGGTTTGATGCGGTCCTCCAATTTCGCCTATCTTGCGCCAATCTCTTCATTTCCACATATTTTTTGCAGCCCACATCCTCTGAAATCTGCGTCACATATTCCAATTTTTGTCTCCCCCTACAATTCTTCCCTTCAACTGTTCCTTCCATTACAAAATTAACCAATCCTGGATGCCTCAGAATGTCCCACCAACCTATCTCTTACAGAACTAATAAGCAACCAAGTAGAAGACAATAAATTCATACCAGTTTGAAGTCTACACTTCATTACCAAAGAAATAATTATTCTTCATTATAAATATCACATTCTTTGTAGAAACTGTCATTATACAAAATAATCTTACACTGGAAACAAAATAATACTTCAAAAGTTAAGAAAAATAATATCATTTCATGAACTTTATAAGCAATTTTTTTTATTATTCTTGTATTTTACTCTCAGCTTTAAGCCTGTATCTCATTAATATGCTCTTTCATATACAATAACACCATATGGATATGTCATGTTAAGAAGGGCTTACTCACAGTCTTTTCTCTCCTTGCTTATACTGGAAGAAATTCTGACTATGAAGAGTACTTTGAATTCACGGCAAAGCTTCAAAATTAAGACAGCTTTCATATGCTGGCGTTGAATGGATGTTACGACTGAACTACACACCATATCACAAACTTCCATAAATTATACTGAGGAACAGAGTTAAATAATGTTAATAATAATTGTCTCTTCCTCTGCGACCACTACCCCTACCTCTGCCACCCCCTCTATCCTGGTAGCCCCCACCATGACCACTACCACCTCCTCTATCTTGATAATTTCCCCTTCTATCCTGATAGCCACCTCCATAACCACCACCTCTATCCTGGTAACCACTTCCGCTGTTATAACCTCCATCTTTATTTTGGTAGCCACTTCCACCACCTTGATTCCATCCTCCTTGAACTCTGCCTCCTCGATCTCCACCCCCACCTCCTCTACCACCTTGAAATCCTCCTCCTCCTCCTCCACCACCACCACCACCTGTAAGGTAATAATATAGCTTATTAATTATAACGTTACATTAGTCTTTCTCTCAGAGAGGAATAGCAATTATTAAAATCACTTGCCACTAGCAAGAGGTATCTTACAGTTACAAATTATTACATCTTGTACATTTAACACAAATGTAATGGGTACGTCATATAACAATTGCATATTAACAAGAGGCTTCTTTGGGTGGTCATTGGAATATTTTTTGAGTTGTAACAAGTTTGGTAATTCATTATTTCTGGTGGTCTTGGTCACATCATGGTAAAAATGTTTATTTCAAGTTTCAGTTCTGGACAGCAGTTCAAGTTATGCAGTACAGTCCATAGTAAGATGTGGTTTCAATTACTAGCAGAATCACTACCAGTTTTCTAGATTTGTGAAATCACCCACATGCCAAGTTGTTTGCCAATGACAATACCTGCATGACAGCCAGTTATCTTCCTAAATGTAACACTGGTGAGCCTGCAAAGTTAGGTTGCACACTTTCTTTAGCAAAAGAAGCTGATGTACTAACTGCTGGTCACATCTGTCCTTCAATGGAAAGTGTTAATCCCTTTCTGCCTCACGGTATATAACTCTTTATAAAGGGCTATTCAAAAAGATTGTCGGGGTTTTAAAAAATCACTACACGTAGTACAATTGAGGTAGGAATACGAATCTTATTTTATTGTGTAGCAAAACTCTCAAAGTTTTTTACATGCATTATAAATGCTCAATATGTGCGCCTTTTGTCACTCTGCAGACATCCACATGATAATCCATTTCTTCCCACACACGCCCCAGCATGTCAGCGGTGATGTTTAGAATGGTGGCTCTGATACGCACCTTCAGATCCAGGCACATGATAATCCATTTCTTCCCACACACGCCCCAGCATGTCAGCGGTGATGTTTAGAATGGTGGCTCTGATACGCACCTTCAGATCCAGGATAGTCGCAGTTAGAGGCGGGACAAAGACTTGATCCTTCACGTAGCCCCACAGAAAAAAATCACATGGTGTTAAGTCCGGTGAATGAGGTGGCCAAGACAGGAGCTTCTGATCAACGTCGGTCCCGCGTCTGATCCATCGCTGCGGTAAGTGCTGGTTTAAAAATGCTCTGACTTCCCTATGGAAATGAGGTGGGGCGCCATCTTGTTGCAGTATGAAATCAGCTCTGTCCTCATTCAGCTGGGGTAGCAGCCATTCAGTGACCATATCCAAATAAGTCAGTCCTGTTACAGTCTGTTCGGCGAAGAAAAACAGGCTGTATACCTTCATTTTGGAAACAGCGCAGAACACATTCACTTTGGGGGAGTCACGCTGATGTTCAACATAACAATGGGGATTTTCCATCCCCCAACCTTGAACATTGTGTTTATTAACTTTTCCACACAAATGAAAGGTTACTTCATCACTAAAAATCAGCCAGTCACAAAAGCCATCTTCTTCCATTAGTTGTTGCAGTGCAGTGCAGAAAGCCCCCCCTTTGGTGGTGGTCATCAGCTGTTAAAGTTTGAAGCAGCATTAGGCGATATGGCTTCATTCTTAGTCGCTTCCGTTAACACACGCCAAACTGTGGGTTGCAGTATGCTGAGTTCCCTGCTGCCTCTTGCAGTTGATTTTCTAGGGCTGCGTTGGAAAGCTTCTCTGATCTGGTCTACTTTCGCTTCTGCTCTTTCCTTTACACAGGCACCCCGTCTCCAGAAATTGTGCATACCACCTGCGAATGGAATTGTCGGAGGGCAGATCTTTCCCAAATTTCATGTGGAAGTGCCGCTGGACAATGGTAACGGACAGACTTTGATGATATTCGAGAGTACAAAACGCCTTCTCCTTACCGTTAGCCGCCATATTGCACAAGCTGACACCTGGCGGCCAAATGCATAACTACTGGATGGCAGGCGGTACAGAACAAAACTTTGAGAGTTTCTCTAACCACCAGTGTAGTGATAATAGTCGTATGTTTAATGCATTGCCCCACAAAAATTCACAAAACCCCGACAATCTTTTTGAATAGCCCTGTATTATTACATTTGAATACAGTTATAAAATTACAAGTCCAGAGAACCAACAATGAAAGTTTAGCAGGTAAAGTACAAAACTTTCTTGCCTCACCAAAGGAGTGTTTGCAAGTGCTTTAAAACGTATACACTTTTACTATAAAATTATGCTGCATAATTTTAAAATTCTTTAAACTTAACTCAGTCAAACAGGCAGACATACCTCCAGACCGCTGCTGCTGCCAACTTGGCATCTCAGGGGGTGGAGGTTCCTGTTCATTTGGCCGACCCCCTCTGTCTGGCACCTATGATACAACAATGAGATTTATGTCTTTATTTATTTTGGTCAAGTTATAGAGGAATCTTAAAAATGTTCTGACATGAAGGAACAATATTTCAAAGCACAATTCACACAAAACGTTTTTCAAGATTTTCCAAAATTTTCTGATTTATGATGACATGGCACAAAATATATATTCTATCTGTGAAAGCAAATCACTGGTCTAAAAATCTAGGTACAGCTATATGGTGTTAACAGAAAACAAAAAAAAGCTAGATTTTTGCTACTTAAACTGCGTATATATTAAACATTATTACATTCCATAACGTGTGTTCAATAAATACTGCACAAATATTTTAAATGAAAGGAAACATCGATGCTATGATCCACAGATATGTTCTTTAATATCAGATCCTTCAATTTTCACATCACTCCCACCATGTATCTTTAGTACAGCGCAACCATATTCATGTGGTTGCAATGCCACACTCTGGTTCACATCATGTATACCAAAAGAAAGAGAACCATCCTTGTCAAATATAACCAATTATATGGAGCAGCACTCTTCTTGAGCAGCTAATAGTATACATAGATAGTCAAGAAATTCTCCACATTTTATGGAACACAAGGTTCATTACTGTGTTCACAAGAGCCCATGGCCAGTACCTATCCTATTCAATCCACACCCTAAAACTCTATTTATCGAAGATCTATTTCAATATTATGCTATCATCTAGATTTTCTGAGTGGTTCCCTTCAGGTTTGTCAACCAAAATTGTGTATGCATTCCTGATCTCCCACATGCATAATACATGAAGCACCCATCTCATCTTCCTTGATTTCATCACTATCTAATGAAGAGTACAAATTGCAGTTTTCTCCAGCCTCCCTCCTAGGTCCAAATATTCTCCTCACCACCCTGTTGTCAAACAACCTCAAACTACGTTCTTTTAACATGAGAGACCAGGATTCACACCCATGCAGAATAACAGAAAATATTATAGTTTAAGCATTATGTTTTAGATACCTGACAGGAAGAACAAAAATTTCTGAAAGGCACGGCAGCAGGATTTCTCAAATTTAGTCATCATAATGCAATTCTGATCTGTTAACAGCATTTCCAAACATATGAACTTTGCCACATTTTCAAAGAATTTATCAGCTACCTTTACATAAAGATTTTATGCTGTAGTCCAGTGAAGAGACATGAAATTGTACTCTGTTTTCTCTACATTTAATTCAATGAAGAATTTGTATCAGTTTTATAATAGCCTACTGCATAGAATCCTTGTTTGTTTTTATGTGTGATGAGCTACATACTTACCCGTCCAATGATCACTTTGTTAACGGCAGACTGTGTGTTCTTGCGCACAGAAGCACTGCTAGTCTTTTCAATAATGGCAAGATCCTCACGAGCTGCCAACAGATCTGACAAGTGGATATCAGGCAGGGCACACATGGACTTCCTCCGTGTCATAAACAGTGCTGCTATCTGGTCCTCTTGGTTCTTCACACGTTCTGACCACTGCATGAAAATCACCAATACAGTGCATCAGTAAAAGGTGTACAAAATTCAGACAAATGTAGGTAACACCAGTGGTACTTTTGAAGTTGTAAATATCCTGAGCTCCAACCACAAAATCTAGCATGGATAAAATGTCTAAGAGAAATTCCGCTTATGCACAATGTTATTGAGCCTGGCTGTGTAATGAATGGCTCCGTCACATTGTTATGTGTATTAGGATCTGATTTCAAAATCTATCACGGAGGATACAAATGAGGGGCAGGTTTAGTGGGTTGTAAAAGGGCTGAAGGGCTTACAATATGAAATTTGAGGTGTGTATAAGGTAGAATGAAGTTTACAGCACAAATTTAAGCACTGAAACACAAGACAGACTTATCCAAATTATAATTTCTCTGACATTTAGGTTTCTGAAATAAATGAGAGTACCACGATTAATCTACAAACTGGATAACCAACCTGTGAATAACTGAGAGCCAATTCCACAAACATACAATCACACTGCATTTAATACTGGCATATAAATTCTATTCTCCATTATTTGCGTAAAGATATATAAGAACAACAAAACCTGGATGTTTGACACAATATAGCTTGCCACAATGAATAAAATTCTAAGCTAGTTCAATCCACATCTCATATCATTAAATCCATTGCAATATAATCTTCATGCCTCTCTCTAGATCTTCGAAGGGTTTCCCCAACAACATTTGTTATCATTTCTTGTTTACGGTTTGATCTACATCTCCAGACCTTTCTGACTTCACTAGAAACAATGATATTAGCTGAGCTGTAAATAACACAAAGTTCTTTGTTACATAATAATTCTCTATTTCGTACTTCTCTTGCAATTCCGCATATTTTCTTGAATAATTTATTTGCACACAATTAATAAAAGGGTAATATATAGCTCAATCATTAGCACTTTGGAAAGTAGACAAGATGATAATTTCTCAACTGGATAACAAGCATTTACTGAACAAAATTCAAATCTCACCAACAAGAATTTTCTTTCTAACACTACACAGAAACTGCAAGGATCACGTTGAAAGAATAATAAGCTCTGATAAAATATGAAATACAAAAATACTTAGGATGATCTCAAAAACAATGGAAAATTGGAAGCACTGCCAAGTCTGTAGCACAGGAACCAGAGGAAAATAAGCCAATATTTTCTTGAACTCTGGAAAAAAATACAACAGAATGAGGTCTCTTATTACTTGCCTGAAATGATTGTATTGTGACATCAAGTCTTTTAATCAGCATCTCTTGTCGCATGCAATACTCATCCTGAAGTTCCTTTTGAAGCTCCGAAAGTTGGTGCCACTGCTTGTCTGATAGCACGCCTACAAACAATGGCTTTCCTACTAACTCAGCTGAGGCTTTATCTAGAACCTTCTTCATCTGTGGGCATAAAAATATACTGACAGGATCAAAGAAAGTTATATAACTAAACATAAAGATTAGGAAGGGTTTGTTGACTGGTTATTTAGCGACACTGCATCAACAACGAGATTATGAAGCAATAGATGTGACAAGATAATTGTATACAAGTCATAGGACTGGAGGAAAGCAGTTGTGGCCTATCTTAATTTACCTGAAATAACTCTGTATAAAAAAAAAAGATAGAGAAATCATGTCAGAATAACTGGCTGCAGCTGCTAATGTAATGTATTACATAATTTTATTTGCCTTCACCAATGCATCTACCACCACAGGTATATGAATGTAATAATTCTAGTGGATTTGAGATATCAGATATATGGGATTGGTGAATTCAAAACTAGAACTCTTTCTTACCATAATGTTAATCTTGGCATGCTAGAAGTTAAATAAAGGATTCTTCAAAGCCTGTCATCTGTAATAAATGACTTTGTAAGCTACCCATACTTCAGAGCAGAATATGTACATTAATCTTGAGATATACCTGGAGAAGCAAACTTTTATGACAACTAACTAATGCCATGCAGCACAGCCTCTGTGTTGCTCAACTAAACAAGAATTTTTGACATTTATTATCATTTTTAGAAAGTCTGCAAGTCCAAGGCCCCTTTCTAATATGCTGGATTGTACAGTGAGTAGTTGCTAGCACCCCCCTCCCCCCCACAACCCATAAAGTGGATGATCACCCATTGTCAGATGTCAACTACTACTTATTAAGTATCTCAACTCCCACCCTCCATATCTGGAGGTGTTTTATTCCATCCACAACCTCAGGATATGCCATGTCATGGTGACATGGGACGTACTTAATATGACAGACAAAATTAAGATTGCGGTCTAAGTAAAGCCAATATTATAGAAGAATATGAGTCCTTAAAATGTATTTACATTTTATAATAATGATGTACACATTACCTTCTCTTCCACCTTCCCAAATAATAAGGCGGGTGTTATGTTTGGTGGTGGTTTTGGGAATTTAAGTGCTATGAGCATTGTCTTCAAGTAGCTTGCAGTTGAACTTTCGTTCTGAAATATATAAATATTGGTAAATATTTCAACAGGTAACTGATATTTTATTGATTTATCAAACTAATTACAAGACTGAACTTACCAACTGTACCTCCATTGCCTTACTCAAGTCAGGTTTGTTAACATGAACCATCCTTGCAGCCTCTAATTCAGTAAGAAGGAAATCAAGCAGACGAATCCGATGCTCACGAGTATGCAGTCGTTCACTCAAATGGCCCTCCACGAGGCTACTATATGCACAACCTGTTTAAAAGAACTCAAAAAATTCTTAAAGTTTCCAAACATTTAGAAGAGCTATATAGTAAGGTATTTTATCTCATGCAGTGTTGTACATGGTAATGAATTAAATAATGAGGTGAAAAAAAAGGGCAAGAGGATGGATTACCAAAACTCATGGTACATGCTGATAACACGGTTATACGAGAACCAAATGAAAATATCTAGGGATTTAAGTCCAAAGAGGCATTACAGCGTGTAAAGATTTTGGATTAAACATAAATTAAGAAAATGTTTGTAAAAAAAGTGGTAGATATGGTAAAAAAACAGAGTCATGAAATAAAAGAAGTGGAGATCTTCAATTACATAACTAACTAAATGGCTTATGGAACCCAAAAGTTCATCACCAAATTAACAAAAGCCCTCCACCGGACCCTGTCCTGGGCCAACAAAATCCAGTCTCCTTCAACTCCTATCTCCCATAGATCCCGCCTGACATTATCCTCCCATCTACGTCTAGGTCTCCCCTGCGGTCTCTTCCCCTCAGGCAAAATAGTGACAAACAGAAGTGTTAAAGAATAAATCAGGAACTTCTTCTATTTGTGAGAGACACTTTGAAAATGGAAAATGCATTTGAAAGAAAAATGTTTTTCTTTTGTATTTTGTTCCTACCATATTTCCATGTTAAAAATCTTTTAAATGAAACTTCTACTCTTGTTCTTAAAGTGTTGTATAATATTTTTGGCTATTTAGCTTACCAGAATTTAGTTTTTGAATGTTTTCATTAGCAAATAGGACTTTCACAGACACGGTAAAATTTGCAAATCTAATCTCAACTTACAATTATTCATTGTCAGTAATTGTTGGCTTACTTCATCACTCATCCCTTGTGTATGCAATATATCAAAATCATACACTGTGTTTACAATAAACCATTAAAATACCTGAAGAACAAGCGGTAAACTATGCTAGCAATTACTGACAATGAACTATACTATAGGTTTAATTCACTGCTATCAAGCAATGTCTATTGTCAGTATACTTACCTAGTTCCTTGAGAAAACTGCTTAATTCAAGGAGAAATGAACTGGAGTCTTCAGCTGAGGAGACAGCATTTACATGTTCATCAAGTTTACATAATGTCTTCAATTCTTTTGACAGCCACTCTACCAGGCCTGTGTATTCCACTGATTTAGGTCCACCATCCAAGGCTTTCTCCAATGATCCTTCTTCAAGTAAAGGGCCAGTGTATCTTCAAATAAGATACCACACTTCAAGCATAATGTGTTAAATAGACACATACATGCATACATCTTTATTACATTCTGTGGATTCATAAGTTAGTCAGATGATAATATGATGAGGAATAAGTCATAATAATTCAATACGTGTATACAAGTACTATTTATACTACTATAAATATTTCACATAATATATGCAAAGAGTTCACATAAAGAAATGATATGTTACAAATAAATCCACCCATTATCTACAGTAGATAAATTATACTATCCATTTTTATTATATATAACCTATAAACCTTAATGAACATCATGACTTATAAACATAAAAAATTAATCAGCTGAATAAAAGAAATGTGTAATTAAGTGTCTTTTAAATGCTACTTTAAATTGTGCCTTTTTATTTATGAGTTGTGAAACTATATGGTAGACTTAAAAAATGTTGTTGCCTGCATAATATGCACTCTTCTGGAATATTGAGAGGTTGACAGCTGATAAATGGTTATTCCTTATATTGACAATGTATATTGCAGCATTAACCCAGGAATTTCATATTTACTGACTCTTCCATATACCAATATTTAAAGCATATTGTGGCGAGTTGTTATAAATGCTGTTAGATTTGTTTTATCCAGATTTTGAGCCAGTTTGATAGCAGTAAACCATTTACTCATATGAGAAAGACCTAGGTATGACTTTCACAGAAATCATTAACAAATTTGCTATAAATTATGACACTTGTGTCATCAGCAAATATGATGTGTTCTGTTATGTACTTATTCCTGGGGGAAAGTCATTTACATATTTCATGAAAAGTATGGGCCCTAGAATTGACCTTACAGAAGTCATTGTTACCCAGTCTGAGAAAAAATTCTATTTTTTGGATTAATTTACTTCAATACTTTGTTTTCTATCTGTTAGATGGGATTGGAACCACTCTGCAGCTATTCCTTGAATGCCATAAAAATGTAATTTAAATAATTTGCCTTGAAGCCAAAGCCTTCACTGTTGGAAATATTATGCCAGGATTGGATTGGATTGGATGCTCAGTGGCACTGTAGCTGTACTGAATTGCTGTGGGAAAGTGACTGTGGATTCTGGACTTATAGGGTGGCACAGCATGTAGTCCTGCAGCCGGTTAGGTGTAGGTGATATATTCATCCAATAGTTAAAAAAACACTGCAAGACTACATGGAATTGTAGTACACAAGACAACAATACACATTTGTCATGAAAGCCTCACAACTTACATACTTTCCCTGCTGTTATACTTGTACCAGGTAATGGCTCACCAAACACTAATCATAGGCAAAGAAAGCTCAAACCTACATATCACACTTTGCTGCATCATGGAGCTTGAGACAGAGAGAGCACTTTGTTGCAGTGATTCAGTATGGCTTTAAAAATGGATGAAATGAGAACCATTTTCCTGCTATTCAGAACATATCATATGCCATAATTTTTCTACAGTTACGAATCCAGATTTGTAAGCTATATGAGCTCAACTCTGTGTCTCAAAACTTTTTTTTTAGTGATTCTTGTACATTATTAAAGAACTAGTGAGTGGGTTTAGGGTAATGCCAAATATAACTCATCACATTTCAGTGCACTTACTGTCACATCTGGTAAACTGTTGTGCCAAATGTGGATACAGCTGGAATAAATGGTGTCCATTTATTATGAAAATAACCTAATTTAACAAACAAAATCAACTGCATGAAATACAACAGAGCCTACAATTACGAGTGCACAAAGAGGCATCAGTTTTACAGCTTCTAAAACTGAGACTCCCAAGAACTGACAGAACAGTTTAAAAAATATGGCTATGTAGACACAATGCAATATGGTACTACCGTAACATAACCAAAAGAGAAATCCTGTCTGAACAGCAATGACAGCAAAGGCACCATTTTTATTGTGCATGTGTTGGTGAATCTACATGAAAGAACATGAGGAATATCTTCACAATATGATGGCCAGCTGGACTAATTAGAATTGTTTGTGACAAAGCTATATTCAATACAACCTAAATTCAGTAGTGGCACAGGACTGAGCTGGTCAGAAGAGTTCGTGGTTGGTCTTGCAATTAAACAAACCACAAATTCAGCAACACAAAGTTATCGTACTGTAAAATTATTCCGAACATAATTATTAAGAACTGAGGGTTAAAGGGACATATATTTGGCTATAAAAGTAATCACTTTTCATTGCATTTCCATAAAGGTATTGTTCATGGCCGGGAATTACAACATTGTGGAAATCTGATACTGCATTTATACAACTACTGTACTACGGGCTAAACACCACTAACCGGAATAATTACATATTTCCACTTTTGTCCTCACCCTATGTCTTCCAAGGCATCCAAAATGTCATTCTCCATCTTGTGTCTTAATATTATCTGAATGCGCGTAAGTACATGAGTGTCAACTCACTCCTAATACTTCAGCACACATGTATATTATTACGTGAAAATGAAAATTTACACCACATTACACATTCGCAACCTGACCAGCCGGCTTAAAAAATTGAACATCAAACTTCGAGGCGTGTTCAGAACAGTCCACATGATATTTAAAGAAATATTACCTTCCTTTCACAGGGCTACGACGGTATTAACTATGGTCCACAGATAAACACAAAGCCTGAAACGCACACGATGTATAGAGACAAAACGGAATCCTAACGAACCTACCATTTTTCAATTCTATACATCACTTTCTTTAATTTATGTACACATATGGCACATAAAAGTGCACTTATGTACGAGGCGCATACACAAAGTAAGTTTCCCACTCGTCTGCGACTGTGCGTACGCGATAGAGCAATGACGTAGCATGGCGCATGCACTAACGGTACTTCCCGCGTTCTCACAGTTGCATTGTTGCAGCTGTTCAAGATGGAGGTTCTTATTCCAGCTCCCGCCGACTGTGAAGTGCGGTCAGTGATAAAGTTTTTGAATGCACAGAGCATAGCGCCGATCGAAATTCATCGTCAGCTGTGCCGGGTCTATGGGCCTAACGTCATGAGCAAGCAGATGGTGCGTCGCTGGTGCAGACAATTTTCAGCAGGTCGACAAAGTGTGCATGATGAGAAGCGCAGTGGGAGGCCATCCATCATTACAGACGACCTTGTGGAGCTTGTGCGGGAACGCATTATGGATAATCGTCGCTTCACAATTACGGAACTCAGCAGTCATTTCCCGCAGATTTCCCGCTCCTTGTTGCACAAAATTGTCACGGAGCACCTGTTGTTCAAGAAATTGTGCGCCAGGTGGGTGCCGAAGCAACTGACACCAGAACACAAAACAAAGCGCATGGAGTCAGCATTGACATTTCTGCAGCGGTACCATGATGGCGGCGACGAGTTTCTGGACCGGATCATCACAGGTGATGAAACGTGGATTGCACACATTACCCCAGAAACCAAGCAGCAGTCAATGCATTGGCGTCACAGTGGATCTCCCTGTAAGACGAAATTCAAGCAGACGTTGTCGGCGCGGAAAGTGATGTGCACGGTGTTCTGGGACAGACGGGGCGTTCTCCACGTCGACTTCCTGACCAGAGGTGAGACGGTGAATGCTGAGCGTTACTGCGAAACACTGCAGAAATTGCGACGGGCCATTCAGAACAAGCGGCGCGGGATGCTTAGTGCCGGTATTGTCTTCCTGCACGATAACGCTAGGCCGCACACGGTATAATTATTACACAGAAAGCACTTCATTTTGCCACCTCACAATTCCAGAACTGCTGGGTTGATTTTGATTAAATGTTATAGTACCATCATCTAAAAGTTACAGCGTAAGTCTTAAAACAAAGCTAAGACAGAGACAAAAGATATGCCAAGGCATGTAAAGTATACCTCTTTATTTAAATAAAAAGTTTTTTGGATTTTATCCATCATCTAATAAAATAGAACGATGTTTCGGAGATGGGACTTTATCTCCGTCTTTAGGTAACCTACTCTGTTGGGCCCAATCAATAGAGCTAATCCCTATCTCCGGAGCACTATAATTTCATCTAATGACGAGGAAGCAACATCTTCACTGGTCACTTCCCACTCCAATTTGCTTTCTTCAGAAATCACATTCAGCATTACTATCACTGGACACATCATTCAATAACACTTTAATTTGGTTATATCAAATGGTGCTAACTCATTTACTTGCAGAAGCCATGGGTTTTCAAAATTTATATTTATGGTCCAGCCATCAGAACTGTGTGTTAGTGGCCAGGGAAATCTTGTTTGAACTCTTTGTAACACCCTTAACACAGAATCCATTAATCTACAGCTTCAACATCCAACTTCAGTTGGATGTCTGAGCATTACCATACACAGTGAAATTCAACTTCAGTCCACATAATAGCAGTTTTTTTCTTTTGCTGTGACATCTGACTTAACTACTTCAGAATAATAATAATAAAAAAGTTGTCAGTGGAACCACGGTTCCGGAGAATTAGACGTAAATACGTCTATACGGAAAGGAAGTTTATATATTGGCTTTATTCTAAATATTTCCTTTATACATGCTTTACAATTGAGTAAAGTTTGATTAAGACATTGCTTATTTAACTTGAATTAGTTACGCTTAAGATGGGTCTGTGGTAGCTGAATGTAATGTAAAGTAATGTAATGTAATGTTTTATAGGTAACAACAATGCCAAGTAAACAATTGACGTTTCCAAGGTAACATAACAATGCAGTTACACTTTTTCGTTTCACTTTTTGCCGAATGACACTGACCCTAAAATATAGACGTATTTACGTCAAAAAACCATTCTTGTTGGTCTGTACAGTGCTGCCATCTAGTGTGAGGAATTTTAAGTTGTACATAAATGACATAATTGTGATATCATTAAAATCTTCCTGTTATGAGCATGATTTTAACACCTGTGGTGATTTTTCTCAATTTCAAGCAATTATAAGTTTCTAAAATGTATTTTGTAAACATAACATTAGTATTTAATGTCTGTTAGAAATTTTTATGATTTTTATTTATACCAATCTAACCCTAATAATTAGTTCAGAGCTTTACATTAAAACTTATTCTTTACAGAAATCAGTGAACAAATAATGTGCAGCAAAAGGGTTTATATTACAATGATTTACATATTGTTTCTCTGGGATATTGACAACTGTAGCAGATTTCTTGCTCATCTTTCTGGGAGATGCTGGCACTTTGATGGTTAATAAAAGACACTAGATAAGAAATGCAGAGTGAAGTGCTAAGCAAAAACACTGTGCTGATTGCTGCACCTGGAAAGAAACCAATAATTATCAAAGAAAGAAAGATAATTTAGAGGAAATGTGTATGTTTTCTGTTCACATAAATTTTGTTTCATACTGTGCTTCCAGGAATGTCAGAAAAAAAAACATTACTGTCACAAATGTGTAAAAAATTTACCTAACCATCAAAAAAAATATGCCAAGAAACAATGTACTGCTGTAACAATGCTGTGTACATATGTAGCGCAGATTTCCAACTTGTGACAAATTGGGTCCATAAAAGCAGTCCAGCAACATTTGATCAGACAAAATCAAACAAAATTAAAGATTACCACTACTGAAGAATGCAGCCACTGCTAGTCTTTGGGTCCTTGGATGTTTGGGACATAGTAACTTCTGGCACTGGTGGCAAATTTCCCTCTACCTTTGCTGCTGCGTTCTATAACAAAGCATATAACAATGAGAACTCCTGTATTGTTCAGGTCACATCTTGCAACCATGCATTATTTGATATATTCTGAAGGGTTCTGATGATGGTGTAATACACTCTGGATTGTTAGGTTTTTGGAGTTTATACAACATCTAATTCTCAGAAGTGACATCAAAATGTAAGCTCTAGAAGTGTTTCATACCAACTGAATGAAATTAAAGTCTTATCAGGTGATCAGCCATATAAGCATGGAATTACTTTCCAATATCCAAACAGGTGATTACCCAAAAGAATGTAATTGTGGTATTAAAATATTTTGGGTCCGACTTTGTTTCCATTACTATGACTCGCCTCATAACATGTCACTTATATCTGCTAATATATTGATGTAAGCAATCAGCAAAACTAACCACATCTGACATAGTGATGACATAGTCCTATGACAGCACTTCTCACAATATACACACACAATACTGTATAGTTTACAGCTCTCAGAATATCTATACTAGCAATGACTGTAGCCTGTAACTAGAAACTGGCAATTACAGAAGTATACAAAATGTTTACCACTCACTTTTAGAGACATATCTGAATCTACTAATTAACCAACACTATAAAACAGTGTCCTCCTTGACAAGCTAACAGTCATTCAACTAGTCAACAAATTTTGTATTTTATGGAATCAAAAGGTTATTACTATGTTCACAAGAGTCCGCCAGCGGTCTATAACCTGAAGCCAGTCAGCATCCTCACACACTACTTCTTTGAGATCAGTATTAATAACATCTTAACATCTGTAAGACTTGAGGTTCTCACAGCGGTGAGTATGAAGATATCCGTCTTCTGGGTTATTGCGCTGTGTAGTCTGGTCGATGTTAACCAACGTTTCAGAGGTCATACTGCCTCC